AAAGTTCTGACCAAACCAAGCCTTTATAGTTGTGAGGTATTAAAAATTGAACTGGTGTATTTAAGTGTTTTACACTCACAAAAAAAGAACCTATCATTCTATAGGTATTTGAAGAACTTGTAGCAATCCGTCACAATTTTGGTTTATTTCGAATTGTTTTTGGTGGTTACGAGGTTAATTAACCTAAAAGGATTCCTATTTTTACATTTTAGTTACTTTTTATAATTAGACATAAATAATAAACATGAAAAACAAGAAATAAAATACTTAACCAATCTTCTTTTTTCTTGCCGTTGATTGCCGAAGAGAATTAAACATAATTTTTTATACTAATGATAGTAATGCACTTAATAATTTCTATTTAATTAAATAATGAACCAAAGAATATATACTAATAACATGCAAAAAAGTAAACAAATTCCCTTACCTCTGAAAATGTATCTGGCTTTCTAACTATGTGACAAGAGTTGTTACAAATTCATCCAAGCCAGTTGTTAACTTTCTCATAGGAATGATGTTTGTACTCTGAATGAAATTGACATTTAACTGTTCAGAACATAATGTTATACAATACATCATTTGATTGATGAAAACCTTGACTTTCTATTGGTTATAGGTAATATATAATTAAACATAAGAGAGAGAACTATTAATGAATTCTGAAAGAGGATGTGATAGGTAGGCATGGCAGGAGGGGTCTGATTTTCTATTTGATAGCTCTGTAACCAAACAAAATTGAAGACTATAAAAATTGTGGTTTGTCTGAGCAATGATGATTTTACAGAGTAATTTATGTTTAATTTCGTACTTTTTGAGGAGTGATAATAAAATAGGGAAGATGGCATGCTAAGAGAAAAATGTGTCACGTGGGTCACACTAGGGGAAATTCAGGATTTTTGTAAATATTGCCTTGTTGAATTAAGAACTTTAAACTTATATACTATTACAATATGGATTATTAGCTAAGATTTAATATTATTCTAATTGGTATAACGTAAACAAAAAGTAGCTTAATAAATTTTTGAATGTAAGACACTAAAACCTGGTGTCGTGCAGTAAAGGACACCTGTAGTGATAGGGTTAAAGCTGTAATGATTAGTGTTCAAGCCATCTGTGTTCCTTTTAAACCTAGTGATGTCTATTAACAGTAAAAGGAGATGCAGATTGGCCTTGTCGTAGAGCTCTGAATTTCAGATTTGGGGACCCAATTTTATATCCATGAAATACCACAAAATATATCATGTACTTGAACCCCTACGTGCACAGCGTAAGTCCATTGGACTGACCTTGTATTGTAGAATTAATGTTTACTGTAATTCTGAATTTACTACATGTGTCTTAAGAAAATTTTACAGCTGTTAGTAAATGTGAAAAGTTTGTTGTGTACAAAAAGTCATATTTTTTAATAAAGTATTTTTACTAAAGATTTGTCTGGGAATTTAAATCAGTCTTACTCAGATTCTTACTAGTCCGAGTGCAAGGTGATTTTCATGGTAAAATATAACTACTTTTTCACATTAAAGTTTTTATATTTCATTTATGTAACATCCTAAATCTAATTGAGTTTTAAAACGGTTTTCAGTAAAACTTTATACTTGTATTTCTTATTGTCTCTTCTCTAACACTAACTGTAGGAAAATCATCTGTTGCAAAAGTTGAAAAATAGGAAATAAGATCAAACATACATTTTTTTTTAGAATGACTGCAGATTATAACAGACAATTACAATTATTTATCCTAAGAACTTTAGGCCTCTTAAGTTATTCAAAAAAGCTTTGATTTAATTTTATTGTTTTTCGTTAAATGTAGTAGAATTAAAAAGGCATAAATGCAGGTAATAGATATATTCAAGCACTTTCAGTTTCATTTAGTTTAAGTTTTTTTTTTTTTTTACAACACTTCTTTACCCTTATGATTTTATTTAAGATTGTTCCTCTTTTTTTAATCCTTACTCCTAGTTGTGAGAATATAAATGTCATATGAAGGATTATTGTGAATGGTACAAACTGTTTCTGTGAAACACAATGTTCACATGAGTTTTGATGTCATTATAACTAATTATCCATTCCTTACAGGTATAGAGACTTGAAAGAGAAAAAAGACCCCAACATTCTTCCACCAGAATGCACAGCCAACATTGATGGCCCTTATGCACAATCAGTTATGAGGGAACAGAGTATGCATTCTTTCAATACTCTGTTTTGTCGCAGATGTTTCAAATATGACTGCTTCTTACATCGTAAGTACTTTAGGTACTTGTAGTTTTGAAGATAAACACTCTGAATTATAACTGTTTTATAACTGAAAATCCTGAAAAGTTATGGTATAAACAAATTTTTCAATACTGGAAATTCTGGAAAATCAATGTTTTTTTTAGCAGGAGATGCTGGAAAATCCTTGAATGTCTAATCTTATCACTTACACATTCCTTGGTTTTATTTATGACAAGCTGTAACATTGTGTTTGTCAGAGTTTCACGATAAATCAATCCCTGTAAAATGTTACTTGTAAAGTTATAATACACTAACTTAGTAACGTTATTCAGTAACGGACTTTGAACTATAAACATTCAACCATAAGCAAATAGTTGTCGTGTGACTATTGTTGGAGTGAAGTTGTAAGCATAAAATAAGTCAAGGTTCCTTTGGCAGAAATTTAAAATCACTAAAGTGTAGATAAGGTAAAGAACATGGACATTTCAGAATTTTCCTAATTCCATCTTTAGCATAAACACATGTAAAATAATTAACATTTCCAGTCTAAGTTCTTAATCAGTTATTACCTCAAGTTTATTGATTAAAAAGCGAAAGAGAAAAGCAAATCCAAACAACAACAATATAACAACATGGGTATTATAAACTTAACCACTGTGCAAGAAGTAGACAAATACTTGCCATTAAAGACAGCTCATCAGCATGTACCTGATTAGAAAGAGTCCTTCATTCTGAAACGGGATATTCTAGGGAGAATTTAGACTTCCTGTTTCTTGCTCCTTCTTTCACTAGAGCTTCCTCTCCAGAGGACTCATCTGTTCAGCCACCTTCTGCCCCTTTTTTCTGCAGTTAGTTACATGTGGTTGTGAAGTTTTGGAGATGCAAACAGTTGCTTTTGAGTCTACCCTGCTTTGTACGATCATTCTTGAGGGGATTACTTAGTTTATCCTCCTTCTCCTGATATTGCTGTGCATGCAGGGAGGTTTGCAACACAAGTACTTGAGGATGTCACTATACCCCGCCCCTTGTTTCTCTGAACAACATGCCCTGGCGTATCATTGTGAAGATGATATATATATTTGGACACTCAAAGGTTGGATCCGTTGTTGGATCTATGGGGTAACAGGTACAAACCTGTTATCTCTCTTAACAGGTTGCAATTTTTGCAGATTCGTTTGACTCTTTCTACTGTTTTAAGATACTTCTCTTCTACTGTTTTAAGATACTTCTCTTCCTACTGTTTTAAGATACTTCACTTCCTACTGTTTTAAGATACTTCTCTTCCCTTCAACTTTTCTCTGAAGCATATTACTGATTGCCTCAACGATTTGATAATGAACCGGGCCATTTACTGGTCACTATTATGACACATTTGACTTCTTCAGGACTTGCCTTGAAGTCGTGGTTGTTCTGTTGCTGGGACTTGTTGAGTTGTGATGCTTTTTGGAGGGTATTCACTTACCTTCTTCTGCCATTCGAGATTTACAGGAAGCATCTTTTTTTCTGCCTTATTTATTTGCTGGAATTCCAGAATTTTTAGAAGCCAGAGTTGATACAGCATGTTTGCAGTCTTCTTTATTGTCTTTGGCTGCTCGACCCTATTCTACTTCCACTTGTACTTCTGCATGTTCATCCCCTCGTGTCTCAAGGCCCCCTCCTTCCTCTCCTTGTTCCATTGGTTCTCTTAATAATTTCCATCCTTCTTCTCGGGAGATATTTTGCAGGCCGGTAGGTGGACTTCTCCCAACATGTTCATATCTCATTACCTTCATGATCTGGCAGTTTCCTTTTCAAAGGGACCTTGTCTTCTCCCTGTGGCTGTGTTGACTACCTCTACTAGAGTTTAACAGGGTGGTCCGTAATGTGTTATCTGACTTACAGTTATTGTTCCTTTCTCTTCTGGGGTTCCTATTGATTTTTTTTGGATTCCATTCATTGGTGAATGTTGCCCATTCGGATATGCTTGAATTTAAATTCTGCACTAGCAACCTTTATATCGGTTCCTGGTTGCAATGGGCTCTATCAAGATGAGGTGTTCCATAAGACCATCTGGACACAATTCTGGATGGTGATATCATTACAATATTTCTAATGGTCTGCTACTCATGGACTATCATGAGTAAAGCTAAAGGGGATTTTGCCAGTCCCTGCTGATCTTAGAGCTGAATCAGTCAAGATCAGTTTGCTTTTAAAAATTAGGGAACATGGTTCACCTGTTGCACTGTCTCCGAAGACCTGTTCCTCAGGACTCCCCAACACTTATGTTTCTCCCTTACTTCTGCTAGTGGAGCTCGTTAGTCCTTACCACACCCAGTTCCCAGTCGCTGGGGTGATGGACAGAGGATTTACCTTTGGAGTGTTGAGTTTTCTCCACTCTCTGAGAAGAGGGCAAAATTGGGGATCCTCCTACCTGGGTCCCTGGAAGTTTTTCCCAGATGTTGGTAGGAGAAGGACCAACCTACACGGGAGCCTACTCGTAAAACCAGTCCAGATTTGTTGCTTAGCTATCCAGTGGGGGAGTGCTTGGACCCCCTTATGAACACTGTCAGGTCCTATGTTGTTCGTGCAGGGGGTCCACTTTCTCCTCGTAAATCCAAATGCAACGCGGTCCCATCTTTGGTGGGACAGTGTTCCACATTCTCTCCTTAATTCCATGGGTAAGTGGAATTCTCCTTGCCCACTTGGTGGTGGAGTAAAGACAACTGTTTGTAAATCTAAATGGGATGAGTTCTGGACTTTGGTTGGAGTATGGCATATGATCCTGTCAATCCAGACCTGGGATGTTGCCCTTTGGACTTCTTCAAGTTGATCAGAAGGATTGTCCATTTTGGTGTTGCTTTCTTTCTTTCATAAATCTGGTGGTTTGAAATGCATCATTCTGTAGTTACTGGTAAGGATCCTATCATAAAGATGTATATATCTGTGGTCTAACTGCCCTGGCCACCAACATGGGATATGGGTACCATGACCCCTTAAATCCAACTTGAGTTGTGGAACCTCGTCTGTTTGGTTGGGGCTGGACCATCATTCATGTAGTGATGGTATGTTCAGCAGCCAATCAGGTACAAGTTGATTTGTTGTAGTATTGGCAAGTTGAAATTGTATGTTTAATAAATATTATTTGGTTTTGGTTTTAGCTCTAGTTAAAGCTTGATATTTTGAAGAAGACTTTATCACTTCATAGTAAGCTGAAGTTGGGAAAGTTAGAGTATGATTAGAAGACTGTAAATGATGAACTTGTTAGTGCTTAGTTCAGTAATACATGGTTATTTAGAATTTCTTCTAATGGCTAATTTCATTTGTTTTTATAACTCGGATGGTACTGTTATTGCTAGAACATTTTTTACAGATCTTACTGCTTTTTTTATAAAATATAATAAAACACTAGTTATTTAATTTTGATGGAATTCACATTATATTAAAATCAGTGAATTAGGTCCTTCAAAGTGATAGTTGGGTCCTGGAAAGCCATGGATTCTTTTTTTTTCCCCATTAATCCGTGTGAACTATGTATTTGTTAGAGTTTAAATGCATCAATTTTTTCTCTGTGATGGTCATATATAATGCTAGAAGTGGTTTGTTAGTCGTTGTGATGTAGTAGTTTTAGCTTAGTTATAAAACAATTGTTCATTGTTTGCAGAAAAATAAAAAATTTGGCTATACATTTCTTTTTAATATTTAAATTTACTATTTATTAAGCTGTGGTATTACTTAATTTGTGTTTTATTAACTGATGATTTTAAAATAGTAATGACAGTGATTTATGTTTAAGACTTTGAATCTCCAGCAATAAAAAATATTACATATTATAAGAAAATTAATAAACATGTGATCGTAATGAGAAACTGCTGCTTGGTTGAAAAAAGGAGGATGCTACTTGCAGTCAGTATAATCTATACAGGAATGAATAATTTTGTGTAGTTAGAACATTCCTTGACAGAAATAAGGTTGGATCTTAAATGTAATTTAAGTCTGTAAAAACTACCATTCTTCCAGGAGTTTTGAATATTAACATGTAAATGGAGATATGAGCCAACCACCCTGAATGAGGATCACATTTCTAATGTACTGACACAGGTGTTTTTAAATCACATAATAATACTGGTGCAGTTAAGTTTTAATTTAATTTCTTATTTTGAGTTGAAACTGTTTTAGTTTGTAATATGTTTCTGACACAAGTAAAAATTCAAAAATTCTTAAAATTGAAATAATAAAATAGGTTTTGCTAATTATTATAATTTTATTGAGAAGACATTTAATGGTTAGATACTAGCATCTTTAATTATTGTTGTCATTGTTTTAATTTTAAGAAAAATAATCATATTTTGAAGTTAATCCTATGTTTTTCTTATTTAGTAATCTCTTTTGTTAGTTTTTAATTTATGTATACTTGAAAAGTAGTTATTTTATTTTATCTAGTAATGTGACACGTGGCTCATGCACTGAAATAGATGTTTCACTGCTGAATATTATAGAACTTTGTATAGACTACTATTTAGTAGGCAAAAGTAAAGTATTATTTTAAAATCAGCCATGCTTCAAAAGTAAAAATAAAATTTATTATAAAGCCACTTCTGTTATACCTGTTTTTATGTAATCATTCTGTACTGCCATTCTTATCTGTCACTTTACCAGTAACCAAGCATTTTACAGCAACATTATTCTTGTCATGAAGACATAATAAAGATTAAACCCTTTTCATTACTATTGTTCAGAGTACATACTTTAATATCATAAAAGGGTGACTACAAAGGGCTGAAGTAATAAAAACCACTGATACATAAAAAAAATCATGTGAAAAACAAAGTGTGAAACATTATAAATGCATTGTTTACAGGCAAGACTCCTTGGAGCTATGCAGAAATGGAAGCTGGAACATTCTTCTCATTGTTATCTGTGAATTACATTAAGTAAATGTTATGTAATGAAATGTCAATTCTAAACTATTTTTGAGTAACAATTCATTGAAATGGGGTTAGAATTATATTTTTTTACTTAAACTTTAAATTTTTCATGCAAGGTTTATTCTCAACACTTGAAAGGTGAACCCTGGACATAATAGGTTTAATAAGTGGAGGAATTTGTGGTCCTGAGTTTTTGCACTTCTAGGATTTGCATCTTGACCATCATGCAGTTTATCTCTCATCAAGCTTTTGAATCTTATGCCTATGTTTGGGGTTGCTCCAAAATAGTTGTTTCTCTTTCTGATCTGTGATCAGTTCAGTTAATGTCTGAAGCTCATTTCTACAGTATGATACCTTTTATGAAAACAGATATGCTGCTCTCTACAAATTCTCTACTAATGCCATTCTCTTCTGTACTCTACAAATTGTTCTTTATTGTTTTTGGGATTGGATTGGCACGGAACTTCAGTTATATTACATGTAATCCCTTCCTATACACAGGAGTGCAAGATTGCTCACTTCCTCAGGAATTTAGTTTTTGTAACTATCTACCTCTATTTGGATTTGTGAGATGATTTGTTTCATCACCACATCTTAAGGATTTGCATCTCAATTCTTTTCTGTAGGTCATCTTTTGAGTAGGACTACTGACCTTCTCATTTTATACACTTTTGTTTTTATTGATATCTTCTGATCTCAATGTCAGCTGTCCCATATCTGCTCATTATCAGTAGGTGGAGGACATTCAGATATTTCCCTTAGGTAAGACCAAGTCCTCCATTTTTTGTGGCTTGATTGTTTCTTCACAATGATTACCCCCTCCCAGATGCTGCATTGAATATATTTTCACTAATACTTTTTTCTGGGCTAGGTGAATTTCATTTAAATCTAAATAGTGCTTTTATTGTTTTGTACATAAACTTTAAGGGAACATTTGTTCCAAGCTGTTGTGATTTCAGACTAGAACTTTTGATTTAGGTTTTGCACCATTGTGTTTTCTTTTAAACTTGTTATATGCCAGGTGTTGGGAATCTTCTAACAAACCATCATTCTCAAAGGATTGGATTTTGCCTGTCAAGTAGTCTATCTGCCTTCAGGTGTTTTGCTGACTAAAGGTTACTCATTACCTACAAAACTCTTCTTGTAGAGTAATCTGTCTCGTGTCACCTTTATGAATTGATGGAATGATTCAGTGTTGGAAATTATTTATGCAGAGAGTTCTGTATCATTTCCCATAAAGCACTATAGGTATATTTTATGAGTAGAAAGATCGGTTGAACTGGTATCTGACATAATGCAATGGGTGACCAACATGATAAGACATATGTAATGTTCTCTCTTCCTTCAACTTAAATTACTGAAACATTTAGTTGTTTATTTTGGTGTGTTTTTTGACAGATTGTAACTATTTGCCAAAGACTAAAGGTAACATGTTACATATGAAAACTATAAATAAATGTGGTATAGCAATAAAAAAAAGTATTATGTAATTAAAACTTAAAAAATATAATGTATTGAAAATATATAGAAATCTTTAATCTTTCTCACTTGTGTCTAAATTAATTTTCATTATTCCATGATAACTTTGAAACATCTTAAACAAGTCTCTTATGGTTGAACATTTTTTTCTGAAAATACAGGAAAACTAAGTTTGGATATTTGTTTGAAACTATAAAATTATTTAAATTTCTACTGGCAGAAGTCAAGACTGAACTTATCCTATTGTCGCGTATCTGCTTGTTTGTTAATTTCCAGTATAAATTCTTTCCGAGGAATTTCAGCGATACAAGTCCTTACTTGATTAAACCAGTTTATTCTTTCTCAATACAAACTTTGAGTACACAGTAATTCCACAGTCAGTACATTTCTCGTCACTTTAAACTTAACAACCTTTATAATACACACTATAAATCACAGCGATTCACAATCTCAATAACTTCGCTCTCAACGAGTACAAAACACACACTTTATTAATCCCGGTGGCTTTCTCTGCCAGGCTTATATACCAACAAAGAGGCGTCTCTCGATCACACTCGAGCTTACCCGATAATTCGAGAAACTTCACACACGCTACCAGCGCCACATAACTTCCACTATCGTAGCACTATATTGGTATGGATATTTTTTGCTGGTAATGTACATCTATTGAATAAAGCTACAATATTTTTTTTTTATATGCACTTATTGCCATCTTCTAGATCCTAAAAAATATATATATATCCCAAATATAAGTTTTGTACTATGCCAATTAAAGAAAAACAACTCTTTTTTTTTTTTTCAAAACTTTTAAGTTCTTCTTTTTTACATTAAATTACAACATTACTAAGTTTTTAGAATACTTGTATGCATTTTCTAAAATTTAAAGTAAATTTTTTCCTAAAGGCAACAATTAATTAGCAAAAACATAAGTCACTGTATTTTCACTCCCCTATAATATGATTGGCCAGTTTATTAGAAATGTTTTATCTGATATTTTCAAAAACTCTTCATATGTTTTTTACACTGAGTAAGAAAGAGTAAGAAAATTTTTTCTGTAAAGAAATATATATTTTTTCTCTTTAACACCACTGATTCAAAAGCCTGTGAACTTCTGAATGGCATATCCATTTGATCAATTCTGCTTGTATAAATGTAAATTTCACAGCTTCTGAACAAACAAAAATATGCAATATTTGAACTCGTATGTTAGCCTCATCTGGCTGGAATTACTGATTTATTTTATTCTTAAAGAAAGATAGTACATGAGTACGTTACTGTAACAATATTTTATTTCGGTTTATATTGAATAAATACAAGAGGTTGTCAGGAACAAATATTAAATTGGAACATTGTGAATTTGTTTTAATGATTGTTCTTTCAATATTTGTAATCATAAGTAGTAAGATTTTGCTTCTCAGTGGTTCAACAGTTAGTCTGATGGTGTATAACACTAAAAAAATCAGATCTCACTACCCACATGGGCAGAACACAAATAGCCCATTATGTATATTTGTCCTTAAGAATAAATGTACAAAGAAAGCTTTCATTAATAAGGTCTATTAAGTGCTTCTTTGAACCTTTGTGAATCTGATTTAACATAATCATACAAGTTCATAAACCCTGCAGGGGAGAACAATTTAAATAGGCAATATGTCAAAAGGTTTTTTAATCTGTTAGCTCAAATCCCCCCCCCCCTTTATTTTGTATGGAAGCAACAAATTTTTGCGTAAAAATGGGTCAGTGAAGTACTTGAATAAGCAAAACAGTAGTTTGTAATTAATTTCTAAATTATTTAGTAGGTATTATGATTATCATGCAATTTTAAAGTACATTGGAGTGGTGTTATAAGACTGTCTTTACTATACAGAAACACCTTCAAAAGTTGTTGTTGTTGTTGTTGCTGATCATTCCAAGCCACAATTTAGGGTAAAGGTAACACTAGTTCTAAGTACTTCATAAAATTAGATACATTTAATAAAGTAACAGTAAATGTGAAAATAGTGGATTAGATTTGTGTTTATGTGTGATTTGGGCAAGAAAAGATTATGACAAACAGATATAACATATAAAATTACAGTATGTTTAATTGTTTTACACTTAATTCTTTTTTCAAATATTGAAAGTTTTACAAAAGCACCAGGAAGGTCAAGCAATTCAAACCTGTATTTCCTCTCAACATATTTATAAATTTGATTGTAATATAAACTTTCTGTCTTTTTGATAAATTGAAGTTTATAGTGTTCTTCTTACTTCTATCACCTTGTTTTTCACTTTTATATTCTCTGTCCATAGCCACTAAGGGAGGGGATTTCCCCCCAGGTAGGACTGCTGTTTCTTTGTATTTGGTGCATGTTGCCTGGTTTGTTCCTTAAACATAGCTTTCACCTTCCAGTGTATTCTGAAAATTATTTTAAAAGTTTATTGTTTTCCAATATGAATGTTACACAGGTCATTTAAAACTAACCATAAAACAAATACTGATGCTATCATGACAATTTTCTAGATGTTAACACTTTCCCTGTGATATTAATGTAAGTGGTGGACACATAGAATTGCCACAGTGTGATTTCATCTGTCACTTGGTGTCTGCTTGTACTTCATATTTGGAAAATATATAAATGAAGTAGTGGTTTTATCACTTACTTTTATGTGGTATTTAATTAACTGTGTCTGTCTTTGGTGGTTTGTGAACTACTAGAACAAACTGGCATTTCTTTCTCTGTAAATTCTTTGCATGTTTAATGTGTAAAAAATTTTAATAACCACCTTTTGAAAGTACTCAGGTTATAGAGTTTTGTATCTTTGTAATAATTCATGTAGTTTTATTAAAATCATAAAAGTGGATTAGATGCCCACTTATAAGCCAAAAAAAATTCAAACAGAATTCAAAGTGGCACCAAGGGATGAGGTTAATGCATTCAGAAACTTGAAGACTGAGATTATATGGGGCCCAAAAGCTGTAACTCCTCTTACCCGGTAGATTCTTGGACATATTATACTACTGCATCGCGAATGCTGGAAGTCTCAGTTTTCACTTCATTGGGTAATGAGAATGGAATTTGGCATGGTGAAAGTGTTAAACAGAGATGTGCTTGACATTGCCACATTAAATGCATCACATAATATTTTTACTTTTTTTCTTTTTTCTATATTAAGTTTGCTCTGATGCATGAAAATAATATTGTCAAAGGTAAAAGACAGCTATTGACTAAGTATGCTTTAATAACAGCATGAAAATCCTGCTGCTGGGCCATCCTTTTTTTAGTGCATAGTTAAAAACTATTGTACATGTTTTTTCCAATATTCTCAGCTTTAAGAAGCCAAGACAATTCTTCACTTTGTAGTGATATATTTGCCATTTGAAAGCATGGGTAACTTTTAAACTGTAAATCTTTGTAAATTTAAGAAGGCTATTAGTAATTTCTATGCATTATGAACAAAGTAAAAGTTTTATAACTAATGAGTTATTATTTCATCCAGGTGTAATTTTTATTAATGTATTTACTAATTTGTTTTGTTTTTGTAGCATTCCATCCTACTCCAAGCCAGTTCAAAAAAAAGAATTGTGATATGAAACCAAGTACAGAACCTTGTGGTCCTAACTGTTATTTACATCTTGTGAGTATCAAGTAATATATTAACTCATGAACAGTTATTATTGTTAAAAATTAATTGTTAAATATGTAACATATGAAGCAAATTAAACAATAAAAAACTTTTGGTTCTGTATTGTTATTTTTCACCATTTTGGGAACAGCAACAGTGTTTTGCACTATTACGCTTACTTGTTCTACTCTAGCAACATGTATAAATGATAACATTTTTTATATTGAAGTAAAATAGAAAGCAAATTATCTTTCCAGTTATGTAACTTTTTGGATGATTAATTCAAGAAATGGTTTATAAAATCCTAATTGCAAAAAAAACAAAACAAAACATGCTTCCAAGATTTTGAAGTTTTCATCATGTGTCATTTGTCATCACATTTCGCTACTCAAATTAATCATGCTAAAGGAAGTTTTTGTAAAACATTGACATTTTTTGCCTGATAAGTATAAATAAATATTCAACATTAACTTTACTTAGCCTTATGTTGAAGAACATGGTTATCAGAATACAAATTCCAATATGGTACATTACCTCCATTCTCATAAATAGCTATTCTCATTCAGTGCTGCCCTCTATATGCAAAAATGTTTTCGCATGCCACAAGCCATGAGCTCCCACGTACCCCAAGATCAACGTGGTTCAACTGCATTGTGCATGCAAATCATCATGTAACAACCCTCCACCAATAGGAATGTGACACCCTCCTGACACATGTGACTCCCTTTATTCAATTTTCCTGAACTGTCACTTCTCGTTTGGCAGTGCTATCGTCAAGACTTTTTTTTTGTTTGTGCTTTCTTCCCATGTTGTTTTTTTTTTAAATATCATACAAAGTGGAGATATTTTATATTTTTTTCTACTTCACTTTACCTGTTTTAGGTGATAAGCTTATTGCTCTTCACTTTTTTATATTTTAACTGAAGCTTGTGTTTCCACCTTGAAAATGTTTTCATTTACTTCCAGCACAATTACCTAGGCTTCAGGTGGTGGTACTCAACAGAGGAATTGTCTTTGTTTTCCCTTATTGCCTCTCCTGCTGGTATTAGCTGACATACACCTTTCTGAGGCATTCTATCTGTTTCTTGGGGATTTTTGTGGGATACCTTTCAATTACTTACCTCCATGTTGGGGCGATTGCCATCTTTGGCTCTTTCCCCTATAAACATAGCTTCTTTGCTTTCGTACCAAGTTCATTTCATTTCCACTTCTAATTGGGACTTACAGATGGCTCTTTTCCTCCACTGGTTCATTTTCTTTTGGAGGGGTGTTACTCCTGTGAATTTAGCACCATGTGGAGTATCTGTATTGCTACATTTGATTTTTTTCTTTTTGGTTGCTCATCTGTCTCTTTTTGGCCATTGTATTCTTTACTCATGTTCCATGTCCAGCACTTTCCCCTCACTTACCTGTCCTACATCTAAGCATTCCTCCATTAGTCATGTATTCTCGATGCAGTTTAGAGTTTTGTGATTGATCTGTCCAACTTTGTTCACTTCTTAGTTTTTTCCCTTTTTCTATATTGCCTTTTACCCCACTAAGGTGTTTTTTTTTCTCCAGGACTAAGGATGCCCACTGTTTTCGTTTTGATCCTTATGCCCACATTCCTATTTTTCATCCCTTGTGCTGCTATTTTAAGTTTGTTCACCATGGGGGTTGGGTACTAGTTTTGTGCCTTGCTCTTCAAGCTTGTTTCAGATCTGTATGTCTTTGTCTCCTGTTCCTCATCCTCTTTCTTTGGCTGTCGATGCATTCAGACAGGGTTGAGACATATTTATACATTTATTTTCTTATCCCATTCGTCATCTTCCCAGGATAATTCCGTTCATCCTTGCCACTCTGTATCAGGTCTTTCTGATTGCTCCATCCTGGCTGATATAGTTCTGGTTTTCTCAGCTGCTTCAGCTCAATCCGTTCTTTTGGTTCTATATAGATTTTTCCCACCTTCCACTTTGGTGGCTCATGGGGCATGTTCTTTTCTTTGTTTTTGTTTCCTTCCATCTCCCACCTTTAATCCTAGTTGGATCCACTTGGCCTTCTATGTCCTCTACCTGCTCTGGGTTGTTTAATTGCCTTCAAAGCTTCTTTCTGTTGGTTCCTTTTCCTGCTGTTTCATTCCCTGGCACCACACTGCTGTTTGTGACTTTTTCCTTCCTCCCTTGCCCTTTGGATTCAGCTTTTGATTCAATTAGCCTTTTCTTCCATGTCTTCTTTTTCCCTGTAATCAATTTCTGGTGTCTTCACTCTGATTAGGCACCTTCCCTTTTACCTGCATCTCACCTTTGTTGTACATTGGAGGTACTTCTTCTGTTGAGCACTGGGACTACACCTCATACATTTATTTCCCATTATCTGCTTCGGGTAGCTGTTTCTTCCTCATTGGTCTCCCACATATGATTTTCTACTGCAAGGATCTACTCTCTTAGGGTGTCCTTCGGACACTTTTGAAGGATGCTTCTTTTTTTTCTCTCAGACCAGTTTCTCCACCTATTCAATGTGAGATCCTAGCTATTTATATGAGAAAAGGTTATGTACTGTATCAAAAGTTATAATTTTCCTATACTGAAAATGTATTTTTGATAGATACTTACCTCATCTCACACTTCCCACCCCACTGAAAACTGGTGCTTCCATTTTTCAGACAAAACTAGAAATGATAGTTCAGTAGAATCAAATACAGGAAGTCACATGCATCAGGAGGGTGTGTTGCACTCCTATTGGTGAAGGATTTGCATGCAAGATGCAGTTGAACTATATTAATCTTGGGGTATGTGGGAGCTCAAGACTTGTGGCATGGGAAAAAAAGTTTGCTTATAGAGGGCAGCACTGAACGAGAATAGCTATTTATGTGAGAGGAGGTAAGTATCTATTTGAAATACATTTTCAGTATTGGAAAATTATAACTTCCTTTTATGATTTTACACTAAACTGTTACACCACTAATTTTGGTTCAGTTCCTTCTTACAAAGAATAAAAGAAGAAATTATGATTTTTGTTAACATTCTGTGATGGTGTTATATTGTAATGAAATATTCAGTAATTGTATATAAAACACATTTTTAGTAGTTAGCTAGTTTTGTATTTTCCAGTTTGTATCAATGATTGGGGGGGGGGGGTCTTCCTGCATTTGAGTTAGGTTTATTAGTTACAGCAAGCTCTGACATATTTATGTTCAGTGACTTAAAGTTCCAGCTTTTTACATTTCTTTTACAGATAACTTACAAAGACAAGGGTTGGTGAAAGGAAATTCTGTATGGAAACTTTCTTTACATTGAGTACTTATTTGAAAGTGGGAAAAGTATATTATAAATCATTCCATTTTTTAATTGATATATTCATTTTCTTGATACTTCAGGTGTTTTTACTAAATTACAACCACAATTTTTGGTTCAGATATGTAAACTATAAAGATCAACATGTTAAACTGAAAATTTTGAGAGAACAGAGTGTAGCATATGATGGGAAGTCGTATCTTGTGCTTTAATTATTCCATCAGCAATTGGTAATGTATAGATTCAACTTCAGCATGCATGTAAACTTGATTATTTGAAACAGGAATCGGTGAAGGAAAAGAGACGACAGCAAGAAATAAAAAAACAAGAAGAAGAATTTGCTGAAAGAGGAAAACTAAGAAAACAGAATTCTGTTGATAGTGGAAATGAAGCCAGCAGTGAAGATAGCAATGACAGCATGAAGTCTGCAAAAGCTGAACTAGTGGAAAAGGTAGAGCCAGAAGGTATGCATTTTATTAAAATTTTTATCTTTTGATATTAAAAAATAGATATATATTTACAAAATCAAATGGTTTCAGTTTTATTTTTTGTAATCTTTTCACAATTTTTTCACTGTATTTATATGACCATCTGGGGAACAGCAACAGTGTTTTGTGCTTTTACGTTTACTTATTCTACTTTAGCAACAAATATTAATAATAATATTTTTAATATTGAGGTGAAATAGAAAACATATCTTTGTGATGATATGTCTTGGATTATTAATTCAAGAGATGAATTAGATAATGATAATTGCCAAAAAACATATATTCATTCACAATTCTGATAAGAGCCATACTGACAGATAAAAGTAATAAGTGCAACAGAACCTGATGAGAGTATTGGATACTATTACCCAATAAAAGTAGTAAGCTAAAATCACAGTGTAAGATGAGTATTATTAGATATTGATAAAACTAATAGGTGCCACTGTTCTGCTATTGAGGCAGAACCTTTAATCAGTCAAACTACTGGGTTTAAGTGCAGTCTTAGTTTTCTCTAAGTTAGTTTTTCAGGATCACTTTGATAGGACTCTTCAGTTATGTCATTTAACTTGTAAACCCATCTTCTGTTTATTTCTGTTTTGCTGGAAATGCTGGGTAAAGTTTTTGACTCTAGAAAACTTTAAGGGTGCAGTGAGGATTTGTTGGGTTTGAACTCTTTAGTGCTTGGTCAGTTACTCAAGTGAGCTAAGTCTGTATGAAAGTTTTATATTTTAATTTTGTAAATATAAAATATATTAATAAATGTTGTGTGCCAAGAATCTTTGTTGTGTTTTGTTTTTAAAAAAAAAGGTCATGTGACATTATAAATGGTAAAGATGCTTACTGTTAAAATTTCGGAGGAACAAAAAGCTTAGATACTGATAATCCATACTTTTGTTAATACCCAAATTACAAGGCAAGTCTAAAGAGTTTTACCAACTATATGAAAGCACAAGTTCAGATATGTACTAAACAAAAATTACTTCACAGTGATAATTCATTTAATAGAAACAATTAGTTACTGATGTATAGAAATAAAGAATTTCCTAGTAAGGTGAATAAATAGAATAATAAAATGGCTATAAGAGAAGATGGAAAGCAAAAAAAGACAAATTATAATGTTTTGACAAGTTTCTCAATGTTTTTATACATAGCTCAGATAAAGGCTTCTCCACAAATAGTTATTGCAAGGCAACCTGCACTGACCTCTACATATCTTGGAATTCAGCTCATCCCATATTTAAATCATCCAACATTTAAATCTATTTTCTTCGTGTAAATAAATTTCCTAAAATGGTCTTTGAAAACACAATTGCTAACACTCATAAACATAATCAATGTGATGTTCCAGATAATTTCAGTTTAAGGAAAGATACCAGTATCACTTTTTTTTACCTTCATACCTAGTCTTTTTAATGGTTTATGTAAGACGCACAGTAGTTATGTAAATGTTAAATATGATTTTACTCTTGGCAAAAAATAAACAATATTCTATCAGTTAAATTCCAAGACGATTCTATTAGTAATTTTGTTTATGGATACAATTTCTAAGACTGCACAGCAAGTTACATAAATGAAACAGGGCATGCATCTTGGGTTTTAAAATAGATATGTCTTCCAGCTAAAAAAAAAACAAACTCATCGAATAGGGAAGGTTCTAATCTTTAGAAAAATGTAAACAACTTGCCAATCATTCATTACAATTGTATTCGTCATTTACAAGTTATGACCAAGTCAGGTACTGCCACACTTGAAATGTTAACACTGTGGTTTTTGAAATAGTTCCCAATTAACTAAAGGACTGGTATTGGTTTCTGGGGGCATTTGTCTTGTTGCCAATACTGGATTCATGTTCTTGTTTTTCTAAAGCTACAGAAAAAGTTCTCTACCAAAAGAATTAAGGTAAGGATATTTAAAAATAGCAAGTTTGTAGGCCTAAAGATCATGCAGAATATATGCCTTTTTAATCTAAAGTTCATTGGGTATATATATATATATATATATATAATATATATCATGGAACTTTCTGACTAATAATAAAATATTTTATACTTATTTCTATCATATCTCTTTTTACATTGTGTAGGCTATTGGCCATATATATAGTTCCATAAATTTCACATTATATTACTTCAATGGAAATAAACAGAAAAGTTTTATTGAAAAAACTGTTGAATACCTTTACAAGATTTTAAACTAATAATGGGAAAGAATGGGAATTCTAAGACAAAATGAAATATTTTTATAAACACTGTTTGCAATAAACTCTCATAAATTTCAGAGGATAAAAGCCCCCTAGTGGCATAGCGGTATGTCTGCGGACTTACAACGCTAGAATCCGGGTTTCCATATCCATGGTGGGCAGAGCACAGATAGCCCATTGTGTAGCTTTGTGTTTAATTACAAACATACAAAGAAACAGAAGATAAAAATTGATACAAATATTAAACCAATTTATTTGTTTTATGTTATATTGTTTAGAAAGTTTGTATCAAGTTTCATGGAAATTCATCTAATATTCTTTTGTTTTTGTGTCTCATGAAATTGACACACCTGGAGCTCATAAGCATGTGTTGTATCTAACAGTCGAGCAGCAATGTAGTAAACAGCTATGGAGTGGTGGAAAACTTTATAATCTTGCATCAAATATCCATGCTTAGTAAGAAGTTTCAACCATTATCAAGCTTATTGCCATAATTTTTTATTGACTTTTTCTAATTTTGAAATATCCAGCAGAGCATGGTTTGACTAAGCTCTGTGACAACACTGATCAGTAAACTGTCACTTTGAATTAATCACAGCACCAAAACAAAGTTTCATTTTCGTATGTAATTTTTTTCAGTATTCATATTGTCATTGAGTTAGTCCTTGTAGTTGTGAATTTAACAATATTGATTTATCACTGTATATTTGTTTATCATAAGCTTAAACAGTTTTTCACTTGTAGAACAACAAAGAACTTGTATTTATTGCAAAACCCTTAATTCTTTAGAGAAAGATATATGTGCAAAAAATATATTTTGAAAAACAATTGTGTTCCATCTTGTTTTTTATAAGTTTTTTTTTTATTTGGCTTATTGATTTTATGTATTTAAAATGCTACAGGTTTTTATTATTCTTTCTATTGTACTTTTTGTTGCTTTATCTAGTTCATTACCATTTCTTTCTTTTCTCATCTTTATTAACCCTTTAGTAAATGATATCTTTCCAACCTATTTTTACTGAATTACACCTTTTGCTTCCATCCACTTTAACTTGTTTTCTCAACCCAATCAGTTGTGTTTTGTGCCAAGAGGTTTGATTTTATGCTCTATGAAGGAGGGAGGTATATTTTGCTAGACAGATGTATATGTTACTTAATCTTTTCCAGATACGTGTAGGCAGGGGAGACAGACTAAGTCAGAGAAATCGGGGTTAAGAGATGAAAACAAGCCATTTTCTTCTTCCTTGTTCAAGCAATCATGTGTCCCCTATGATAATGAGACTACCCTTTCCTCTTTGTCCTGTGAGGATGGTAGTACCATACTTGAGGGTGACCCTGAAGGAACTGAAGAGTTGGCCTTTTCAAACCCACCCAATCTGTGTTCCAATTTCTCTGTGGTGTCTCAAAGCCTCTGGCAAGTTACTGGTAATAATAATCTAACAGCCCCGTCTGAGACAGGTGAATCACGGTCATCCCACCAATACTTTCTTCCTAACAATCATGATTACTGTATGCCTCCTCTCACTCTCATGGATGGAATGGGAGGTCTTAATTCCTCTTGCTCATCTGGATGTCAAGAGTTCCTGGAAAAAAAATCCACATCAGTACAGACCGATTTTCCTGATGGTAGTGAATATGGTGAGGAATCAGAAATTCCTCTAGTGGCAGAAAAATCTACAAGCACATCACCTTGTGAGTTAGACTTTTTTTCTGCTTGTGAGTTATCTGACTCCATGCTTGATACTAATCCCTCTGACTGCTTCTCTTCTAACATTGCTGTCTCTGACTTAACACTTTCCAACACATCCAAAGAAAATCCATTCCTCCTTCCTCTGTCTAATAAAGCATGGTACCTTTCAGAAGGATATGGAAATACTCCTGTAGTGCCACAGAACCCTTCAGATTTAGAAGTGGAATGGACTGGAGCTGAACAGTCACTGTTCCGTGTAATCTGGCGTATTTTCTACAATAATTACTGTGCCATTGCTCGGATGATTATGTCCAAGTCTTGTGCTCAGGTCAGTACCAGGTTAAACTGATATTTATAGAATTATAAAATCTATTAATGTTGTTAGATACATCTTTTGATATGTTTAATATATTTAAACATCAAGAATTCCATGAATACATTGAAGAAGTTATAGATTTTATGTAATAAATATAATGAAGGCATTTTGAAAAGCTAGTTGGATCAAATTTGACATGTTTTACCAACATCCATTGATTTTTTATGCTCATTAACATTTTAAAGAATTATTCTTTTTTTTTTACCATGATGTTGTGATATTGAAACTAGATATATATTTTATATGGTAAGTATTAATTATTTCCCCAAAAGGGGGCCAAAAGCTGGCTGGAGGGGTTACCTGTTTTAACCAGTTGCACCACTATACAGTAGCGTGTTGTCTGTCAGTCGTCATTGCAGTTTGTACTTCCGTAACATCAGTAAAACATGCCATGAATCACTAGAAGAATTATACACTCTGTAGGCTACAACACAGCATGACATATAAACTTCAAAAGCAAGAAATAAAATATTTGTTGCTTTTAATTTGGGTTTTATTTACTCTTGAAAGAGAACACTTTGGTTGAGCCAATATTACTGTTTCTTTCTCATAATATCTTAAGGGTATTAGAGCCAATGATATTCACGATTTCTTAGAAATAATAAAGTTTAGAAAAGATAATGAATTATTAAATATAGACGAAGGTCTGGTGAATATCTGTGTAAGAATGTGGCGGGATCTCCTTTGAGAGTTATGTAGAAATGTAAACTTACACACAGGTCACATGATATAGATAAGAAGAAATAAATATGACATTTTTGTCTATAAAGCTCACTCATGGTAAATGTCAAAACATCTAGAATCCATGTTTTATAAACCTTTTTAATTGTGTATTGATTTTGAAATTGTGTGTTGTTTATTTATTATTTTATCTTATATTCTTCCATATTATGGGAAATTTAGCATTTGTACAAAGTCTGAATATGTCATCTGATAACCCCCTGTACGAAATAATAAACACATAAACTAAATTACAGAGATACAAGACATATTTATGAGACCTATTGTCTCCTCCAGGGGAGCATGAAGTTATAATTTGTGTACATCTTTAACTTGGGTGTATAGACCTTGTTTATTAATCTGATGAATACATTTAATCTTCAGTTTTTTTGTGTTAATTTTGAGGTTGTGTCTTTGCTCACACAAGTGCCAGGCAATGAATATATTGATTGTGTCCCTTCCTATGTACATAAGGATGAGTACCCTAGAATGCTTCTTTCTATTGGTGTATTAGACAAATGTTTATTTTTGCAACTACATAAATTGCATTTTCCTTGTGGTGAAATCAAAAACTTTAAAGCAGAGTACACATGACTCCCAAAGTGGTTTACTTCACTGTGATTTCAGTAAATCTTATCCCGTATTTCATATATATATACTGCTATTAAGTAATAACCCTTTGTGTGCATGGATGGGATCAAAGTGCACATATCACGACCTTTTTACAGAGTTACATTCAAAATTTAATTGAACAACTTTATTATTATTGTATGTATGTCAGTAACCTTGGCATCAAAACATAGTTTATAATCCAAATTTTATGTTATATAAGTTAATTTCTTAATTTAAAAAAATTCCCAATCTTGATTTCTCTGTGTCATGTGATACTCTGTGCCCTGAATTCTCCATTTTAGATATTATTTCTTCCCTTATATGGGTTTCAGAATGTCAGTCAGTTAGAAACACTAACTATAGGTATTGACAGGCCAGAATTTAAATAAGAACCTCCCACTTTTATTTTCTGACTTATCAGCAAACCCACCATAGAAGCTCCTCCCAACTTTTCATGCTTTTGAAATTACTTGTTTACTCGTGCTTACTTGCAAATGGTACACATTTATAACCAATAGAAAGGCCATTTTGTGAACTATGTGATTATGACTTCTTTATACTAATTTATTTTGGTAAGTGGTGCCATTTCCCAAACAAATTTTATTGAATGTAGGTTGAAGTTGGTGCTCTGATAAGCAGTGAAATATTTTTTTATGTATAGGTTCATTAGAAAGTCTGGAAGAGCAATAAAACAAGAAGCCTAAAGTTCTTAAAATATATAACTTTAATTGTCTGTTACAGTCTCCAATCATTCTATTAAAAAAAAGTATTATTCTTAATATAAAAATCATCTTGCAATCAGATTAGCCTGAGTCAAACTAACTCAGTAAATTCACAGACACATTTTTAGTAAAAATACTTTATTAAAAATTCAAATTTTTTGAGAACAACATACTTGTAATGTTTACTAAAAGCATACAAAATTTTGCAAAGATATATATATATATATAGTAAATTCGTGATTATCATGAACATTACTTTTCTGATATACGAGTCATTACTATGGACCAAACCCATGCTCTTAGAGTTAAGTTTATGTCCTCACACTGGATTAATTTCTTGAGTCATAAATATTGAATAGGCTCTTTACTCCTAATTCTTATTGTGCCTTTCAGTCTGCTAACATTTTTGGTTAAGATGTCAACAACAGATTTGATTTCATAAGATCTTAAACAAGTCATCTACTTATGAAGCACAATCTGTGTTTATTGTATATAGGTGGCTTTATATCAAGTTGGTTCTATAGTATTTCTAGGCCTTTCTAACCAGTGACTTTCTCTTGGATTATCCAGTTCAAACCCTCAGATTAAACTTTTTGTTGTATCACTGGCTTTAGTACTCAAAGGATCACCCATTTTTGCATTCATCATCAACACTTCATGGTATGATTTATTTCTTTAAGCAACAAAACATAATTACTTAAAATCCTGTAAACATGATTCACTAACACTTGCACCAAATTAACTTAAACCCTTTTGGGTCATACTTTTTTCAGCTATATGACATTCACAATCATTGTCAGATAATTCGGGGTCATAGCCAGAATCATCATCAGTTTGCACAAGTTCAATTGTCTCTTCAAGTGTAAAAATACTGGAGTGCTTTTATGACATTTTGGGTCTGTTTTCTCAAAACAATTAATCAATTTTCAACTGCAAATATTACCAATATTTTGAATGGCAACATAGACCATGTTGGATATGAATCGGTAGCTGAGATCATCATCTGTATAAATTGGGCTTTCTCTTTTGAATTTTTGCACTCATGTCACATTTCTAGTGAGAAATTCAAACTGCATTATGTAATTGCCATACAGCAAAGGGTGTGCTTAAGTAGTTAAAAGCTATAGAAACACAGACTTGTCAGAATGACTAATTACCCTGGGAAAAGAAATTTTGTGATGTACTCTAATTTTTAAACTTCCTCTTTTAGCACTGAAAATATCACCCAATATTGTATTCATTAACATGAAATTGATAGGTATGTATAGTGGAAATGTCACCCTCTTTCTGAAAAAGTAAGAGAGTTATAGTTTGAAACACTATGCAGGGGCGGATTGGCCTGGCTAAGCGGCCCGGGACTGGGATCACAGAGT